TAATGTATGGTGATTAACATAACAATAAAAAATAAAAATAAATAAAAATAAAAAAATAGTGGGGAAAAGTGGGTGAAGGGAATATGGGACCTCTGTACAATCTTTTCACCTTCCCTGTGAGTAAAACATCCCAAAATAAAAAGGTTATTAAGAGAAAACAATAATAGCTTTGTTGACGTATAATTCACATACTATACAGCTCACCTTGAATATCTTTTTATACATGCTTAAATAGCACTCTTATGTAAGGAAGGTATGCTTTTAAGAAAATAACCGACTACATTAGGTTATAATTTACACATAATTAGTTTTAAAAAGATTTATTTATTTATTTTAGAGAGCGCGCATGCATGTGAGCACGCAAGTGAGGGTAGAGGCAGAAAGAGAGGGAGAGAGAGAGAATCTCAAGCACTCCCCGCTGAGCAGGGATTCCCGACAAGGGGCTGCATCCCAGCCCCTGAGTGGGGCTGTGCTGCCGTCAGGCTTGGGTGTGAACCCATCACTTACCTACACTTACCATCCTTTTTTTTCATTCTCCTCATCAGCAGAACTCAGAGATATACCTGCAGCACTTTTTTTTCTATTTTATTCCATGTTGTTGACCTTCAGTATTTATTCATTCATTTATTTACTTTTTAAGTAAACTCTACCCCCACCATGGGGCTCGAACTCATGACCCTGAGATCAAGAGTCACATACATGCTCTATGGACTGAGCCAGCCAGGCGCCCCAGACCTTCAGTATTTTCAGTGAGGGTTACACCTACCTGATGAGTGTCTAGAGCATAGCAAGCCTGCAATACATTGTATGATCATTACAAATCATTTCTCCATTTTCACCTTTTTGTCCAGGTGTGTTATCTTTTACAAAGCTTTTTTTTTTCTTTGTGGTTGAAACTGTAATTTTTTTTAATGCATTCATCTATTTAAAGAACTTGGTTCCCTTTCTCTCTTTTTTTTTAGGCACGTTGCAGAGAGGTCTTTCTGTCCTTCATGAACACACACGTGGTAGACAGATGACTGTCCTCCGCCGCCTGCGGCTCTAGGTGCTCTGGACGTGGAGCTGTCCAGCAGGGGGAAGGATGGATTCCAAAGATGAAAGCTCACACGTGTGGCCTACATCTGCAGAGCACGAAGAGAATGCTGCACAGGTGAAGAGCGGTCTTTCCAGCTTGGTGTTGGTAGCGGTTTTTCAGTTGGGTACAGTTTGCTGACAGCTAAAGAAATAGCAGCTTCTCTGTAGTAATGAGTAGCTGGGGGAGTGCGGGGGGAGCAGACCTGCAGGATGTGCACGGGAGGAATAGGGAGGGTTTTGGCGCTTTGAGTGCTCCATCAGTATGGGTCACTATGATTTAGAAGGGCTCAGCGACCACCCACAGGCTTCTCTGCCATTTTCGCAACTTGCCATCATAATTTGCTTCACTGCCCTGTTTTATTTTATGTGCTTGGTGCTGAAAGCCTCCAACTGGAGTGTTTCTTTCATGTTACCTAGTGTAGGGTTTTGATTCTTCGTGTGTAATGAAGTACAAAGTACATCTATGGAGTGGCCTTTTCTTTTCTTTCAGATTCAGAATGTAAAGGTCTAATGGCAAGTTGTCCCATTGAGTCAGCCACTTGGGAGGCTAGTCACTTGTCCAGATGCTGCTGTGATGGGTGATCACTGCCTTTTGGACTGCGATTATAACCAGCTGCATGTTCTTTTGACTATTCTTAGCCAAGGCAAATGTCTGCTTTTTTGGTGTAGATTTGAATTTTGGGAATAGTCAGCAGTCATATGGAGTCATGTCTGGCCAAAGTGTAAAACTTAATTTTTAAGCATTGTAATAAATATGCAATTTTAATTTAGTTTTTCATTAACTTACATAACCTTAGTATTATTATCAAAATCAGGAAGTTAACACTGAAACACTTAAATATACACATTTATTTAATTTAAGTAATATAGTAAATATTACAGTAAATAAAATTAATCTTCTAGTATGATTTAAAGTCTGAGTCTTAATACTTATAAAAAATGTTCTAGTGATGCTTCCAGCAGAATAACTGAGAATGCTGTTCTGATTTTCATAGAAACCATTTTGAAGACAACTTTCATGTAGCTGTGTATTTTGGTATATTTTGTTTATGAATGAAAATGTAGTCCATTCAAAAAACAGGGTCACCATTTTGTAGGTAACCAGATAGTAAACAGCAGAGCTCAACACCCCTCATTGCTCTCCCTCTTCCCAGTTATTTTTTTTCCTAGCCAGGAACTCTGATTTAGCAAAATACTGTGATGGAGACCAAGTTTTGATGTTAATGAACAAATCTAAAGTCACAAAATTATCTTGCAGCACTTAAAACTGTGCCAATTGTTAGAAGTCTAATTCTTGCAACATACAAACTGTATCTTCGTGGACAAATCAAATTTGTGTAGAAGTTGGACTAATCACTTAGTATAGAAGTGGATGTTTGTTTTATTTCTGCTTGATTGCATTTGGTCTCCAGGTTTCTTTTTGGGGATTAAATTCACTCATATCGTCTTTGGAATCTACTACTCTCCGCTGGAGTGAACTGAAATTAAAAAAAAAGTTAGGTCCGAAGCCAAGGTAGCCTAAGAGTAAAGATTCCAACCTAACTTCAGTATCAGCACATAAATTATTTCTCTGTCAAATGTGTGCTTTGGCCATCTGCTTCCATACCTTCAATATCAAGTATCAGGCTGTGTGCCAGGCTAGCCTTCAAGAATTCAAACCTCCAAAGCTGACTATCCAGAAAGCATTTTATAGAATTCAATTTCTGCTTTAGTTCTTGGTAGGTAGAAAATTATTTACCCTGGTGACAACTGAAATAGTTTTCCAAAACCCCTTAAAAGTACTTGATTAGAATTTTCTGTGTCTTTACCTTGCTGGCAAGGAAGAGTTCTGTAACATTCATTGACTCAGCATACGGTTACTGACATGCCACCAGTACAGCCTTGGAGTGTGAAAAAAAACATGTAGGAAAGAAAGTGACCTTGTTTTAATGTGTCTGCTGAAAGGCACTATTAGTTGTGAAGCAGAATATTTATGACATGTTGAGGGCAATTGGCTTTTGAGTTGACATTGTTTTACATTGCAGAATAATTTGTATTTTGTATTTTGGTAATACTGTCAACCAGGAATCTTCAGTCACATTTCCAGGATCAGCTGACTGCCCCCTCAGGACTCCCCAAAAGAGATGTCTGCACTGGACATTTGAGGCGAAGAGGAATTTGTATCAGTTGCTTAATATTAAGTAGGAAATCAGTGACAAGGTCCTTGGGGCCTGTTTCCAAGTCACTAACAGTGTAGATGACCAGGGTGTATCAATTTTCATTCTCCTTTCATTGGGGATATTTTAGAAATGCAACTGTGGACTGTGCTTGGTCAGCCACGTATCTTTGTGAGATTGGTTTTGTTCTACAAGGACACTCGCTACATCCTTGCTGCTTTCTGCCCCAGGTGCACTTTGTTCCTGACGCCGGAACTGTGGCTCAGATCGTCTACACCGATGACCAGGTTCGTCCGCCCCAGCAGGTGGTGTACACGGCAGATGGTACCTCCTACACTTCAGTGGACGGCCCTGAGCACACCCTGGTGTACATCCATCCTGTGGAAGCTGCACAGGCATGTGAAGGGTTATTGTTTCTAGTTTGTTTGTTAATTGCTTAACTCCCCAATGACTTATGTTTATTCTCCGCCAGTCACTGTGCTAGGTGCTGGTGATGCAAGATATGATTCGGATAAGATTTGTGCTCTTCAGGAGCTTATAACCAACTTGGCAGAGGAAGATATGCCTCATTTATTTAAATTAAATGTAATAAGATGTTAGAGCACTAGCCTCCTATGAGTTCTTGTCCCAGTGACCATTGACTAGATTATCAACTTGTTACTTTTCTTGTGTATCAAGAACCAAGTCAAAAATGCATTTAGTTCTGTATAGCTTCATCACAGATGGATGAGTGAGAAAACATAGAGATTATTTCGGTGAAATATGTAAGCAAAAAGTCCTACTGGCTTATTAACTGCTATTTATTAATAATTGACTGATTCCTAGGACTGTAATAGAAGCAAAGGTAAAAGCTGTGCAATTAGGACTACTTTCTTTTTTTCTCAGTGACTTGGAGGGTTAGTTTCCAAATGCATGACACAAATATATAAATGTTAGTTTGTATGTTAGCACTTTAGAATGCACAGAGCACTTTTAGACATATTAAAAAAAATAAGTTCCATATTTTTGTACTGGAATCTTGGTAATAAAAATTTGCCCTCATGCAATATTAATCAAGAGCCTTAAATCACTCCCAAGAAGAAATGGGGCCCCCTAATTAATAACTTTCAAATCTATGTAAAGATGAAATCACCAAGTAGTCAGATGGTACTTTTAGAATGCCTCTGCTTAGTTTATCTATTTATTTACTTATTATTTTTAATTTTTATTAACATATAATATATTATTTGTTTCAGGGGTACAGGGCCTCTGCTTAGTTTTAGTCCTCTGACTATATTAAAATAAGGTCAGATAGTTTATGTAAGGAATGTCCTGTAGGCAACTTTTTGTGTTTATTATTGTGTTACTAAATGTCTGACTTATGATAATTTTTTAAGTTTATTTATTTTATTTTAGTAATCTATACCCAACGTAGGGCTCAAACTCACAACCCCAAGATCAAGAGTCACATGCTCTTCTGACTTATGATAATTTTTATCGTTTTTTATTATTATTTATTTATTTATTTATTTATTTTTAAAGATTTTATTTATCGTTTGACAGATAGAGACATAGCAAGAGAGGGAACACAAGCAGGGGGAGTGGGAGAGGGAGAAGCAGGCTTCCTGCCAAGCAGGGAGCTCGATGTGGGGCTCCATCCCAGGACCCTGGGACCATGACCTGAGCAGAAGGCAGATGCTTTAATGACTGAGCCACCCAGGCGCCCCTTTATGATAATTTTTAAATAGCAAGTCTAAGAAATCATACAACTGGCTAAAATTCTCTTATATGTACCTCTGGAATCAAAACTTAACCATAGTTCTTATTCCTCTAGGTTTGCTAAAGCCTTGGGTAGATTAGAGGAAAGAATATTTTTTCTGGATTGGTGATTTTCTATGGTGCCCTGGCTAAAATAATTTTGAAGATTTTCCTTCTCTAGTTAGTTCTGCTGTATCATGACTCAAATTATTATGTGTTTATGATGAGACCTTTTAAAAATTATGATTTTACTGACTTTATCCAGGAATGAATCTATGGAACATTAAATTCAGTTTATTTCCCTTCTGCTTTTTTGATAATGAGAGTGCATTTGTATTTGAAAGATATCCTTGTGTATATAGTAGTCTTCTGTGTGTCTGTATGTCTCCATCCATTTTCACTTAATCGTGAGTCAACTCCTGTGATACATAGTGTTATGTGTGAACATATGCACCCTTGTTCATGCCATGTCTTGTGTTTTTGTGACATACCTTTTTAATTAGCCGTGGCATTCACCCTCAAGAGAGATTTTGCTTAAGAGTAAAATTGTCAAGTATGTTAGCCAGTTGAAATGGTTAACTTATACAATCTCTTTGGAACCGTCTGAATGAAAGGCTTTAGCTAAAAGTAAGATTACTATCTTTATCTTCTTTATTAATGAAGGATTATTACTGGCTATATGGGAATTAAGTCTGTCAAGAATTGGTGCTTAGCAGCAGGCTAATTTTTCCTGTGTAGGCAAGCTGTCTAAAGATTTATTGATAGGTTTTTTTTATTGTTGTTTCTTTTGTCTAGACTCTGTTTACAGACCCAGGGCAGGTAGCTTATGTCCAACAGGATGCTACAGCTCAGCAGGTAATGAGTTGCTTTTTTGCCTTTTTATTGTTTCCCATTCCCTGGAATGCACTCCTCCCCGCCCCCCACCCACCCCAACCCTCTGCACTCTGCATCTCTGGTTGTCTACTTCTTATGTATTAAGAATGGTCTTTACTTCCTTTAATGAAAACAAAGAAAAACAACACTAACACATTATAATCAGTACATACTGAAATAGTCTGGTAATAAAAAAAATGATTTGTCACGGAAATTAAAAAAAAAACAAGTATATTAATAGGATATTGGTTCAAATTCTAAAGACTAATCTTGAGGTTATAAGTGTCTCTTTTTGGAAATTTGGAAACATTTGGGTAGTTTTTCTATTTTTAAATATTGAAAAAATTTCTGCTTAAATTACATATAAATTTGATAGCAATCTTCCTCATTCTAGCTTCTGAAAAATTGAGATTTTTCTTAGTTTTCTTTTATTTTTTAAAATTTTTAGAAGATTTTATTTATTTATTTAGAGAGAGTGCAAGTGATGGGGGTGGGGTGCGGGCAGAGGAAGAGGGAGAAAGAGAAAATCTCCATTGGACTCTGTGCTGAGCACAGAGCCGGACATGGGGCTTGATCTCACGATCCTGAGATCATGACCTGAGCCGAAATCAAGAGTTGGAGGCTTAACTGACTGAGCCACCTAGGTGCCCCCTTTTTGTTTTTCTTTTAAAATGTTTCTTTCCTTTTATCCATATTTCTAATATATCCTATTTGACTTTGAGGGATTTCTTCCTTGTTTTCCTCCAGATTGTGAAAGTGATAAAGAAGATAATAGAAGCTAGATACCCTCGGTCTTACTATAAAGGGACTATGGATCCAAATATGTTTTATTTTCATGCTGTCTAGTATGACTGTTATTTAGCTGTACCACTGAGTGTCATGAGTGATTATTAAGAAAATTCCCATTAGCAAGCACTTTGTGCATTTAAATTTTTTTTGGTTAGATGACTCAGATACTTCCATTTTAAAATTTGAAAAGTGAACAGTAGTTTTGTTAATATTATTTATGAAATCTAGAGAGAATTCTGAGGAGTCTTTGTCACATAATTTATGGTTAAATTTATTCCTGATTGATAGTAATCTATAATCTTGTGGCATCTGTGAACCTGAATGAGCATTTGTCTTATTCTGTTTAGGCTGCTGTAATATAATACAATGCACTGGATGGCTTATGAACAATAGAAATTTATTTCTCATAGTTCTGAAGGGGGGATGTCCAAGATCAAGAGACTGTCAGATGCTGGTGCGGGCTTACTTCCTGGTTCATAGTCAGCAGTCTCTTGCTCAGGCCTCACATGACTGAAGAAGGGGCAAGTGACCTCTATGGGGCTTCTTTTTTTTAATTTTAATTATTTTTCTATTTTTTAAGTAGGCTCCACACCCAACATGGGGCTTAAACTCATGACCCCAAGATCAAGAGTCACATGCTCTACAGACTGACCCAGCCAGGAGTCTGGGTTTTTGTTAAGGATGCTAATCCCATTCATGAGGGCTCCACCTTCAATAGCTAATCACCTCTCAGAGGCCCCGCCTAATACCGTCACAGTGAGGATTAGCTTTCTTTTCTTTTCTTTCTTTTAAGACTTTATTTATTTGAGAGGGAGGGAGAGAGAGTAGGAACGGGGAGGAGAGGGAGAAGCAGACTCTCCACTGAGAGGAGAGCCCGAAGCGGGGCTTGATCCCAGGACCCTGGGATCATGATCTGAGCCGAAGGCAGAGAGATGCTTAACCAACTGAGCCACCCAGGCGCCCCAATTTTAATTTTATTTTAATTCTCTGTGTAGTTAACATATGATGTTATATTAGTTTCAGCTTTGGGGATTAGCTTTAAAAATACAAATTTTGGGGAGAAACAGTCTATAGCAGTGTTCTTTTATTTTAATAATTTTGTAATAATTAGGTATATGCTTGAAAAAACAAATCATGCACATTTCTGTGAATATTGTGCAGTGGATAGGTTTAATTAGTTTTGACAATTTGGCAAGAAAAAAATAAAAAAAATCCCTTTGTCTTTCATAGATGATTAGTTCATTCACTCATTTTTGGAGTAATAATTTTTTTCATAAAATGTTGAAACAATGTGGAAAAAGAAGTACATAAAATAGAAATATCCTCATTAAGTTAATAGTTGGGAACTATTATTGCAGACATACAAATAAAGATAAGCATTGGGGGGAATGGCATTGTGCTCTAAATGCTGTTATTAATCTAAATGCTTTAAACTGAAATTTACTTGAGCAGAAGAAAAAGAAATTGAGGTGAAAGTGAAGGAGGTTGGAGTCATATTCTCTAAACTGCACTTAAGCATCAGTCCTGTGTTGTCCTTGGCTCGTGCTGTGATGACAAGGGCATTAGCACACGGACTACTTCTCCCACTCTCCTCTTCACTGTTCTGGGTTGTTAGGTGCATGATTATTGTGACTAATAAATTTATGTCCTGTTCAGTAACCACGGTTATTTAGAGTTTTGCTCCATTCTCTGCTGGCATTTAATTTGTAGAAATCTTTTTTTTTTTTTAATATTTTATTTATTTGTCAGAGAGAGAGCACAAGCAGGGGTGGCGGCCGGGAGAGGGAGAAGCAGGCTCCCCGCTGAGCAAGGAGCCTGATGTGGGGCTTGATCCCAGGACCCTGGGATCATGACCTGAGCCAAAGGCAGCTGCTTAACTGACTGAGCCACCCAGGTGCCCTAATTTGTAGAAATCTTGAGTCTAATTTATTTTCCTCATTCCTTTTCTACCTTAATGCCTGCTTGATACTCTCTTTATCCTTGAAGTTTTTCTTGGAAGTCTAACGACTTCACCAGCATTTGAATCAGAATTTCCTAGGATAGTATGTGTCTTTTCGTGTATAGGTTAAGACTTTCTTTCAGGAAAGTTTAAAAAAAACAAAAAAAAAAAAATCTTTTCAATAACAATAAAAAATTATTTAAAAAAAATTAAAAAAAAAGAAAATCTTTTCAGTTTAATTTGGCAATCATTTCTTTTTTTAAAGATTCATTTATTTTATTTTATTATTTTTTTAAAGATTTATTTATTTATTTGAGAGCGCGAGAATGAGAGAGTACATGAGAAGGGGGAGGGTTAGAGGGAGAAGCAGACTCCCTGCTGAGCAGGGAGCCAATGTGGGACTCGATTCAGGGACTCCAGGATCATGACCCGAGCCGAAGGCAGTCGCCCAACCAACTGAGCCACCCAGGCGCCCCAAAGATTCATTTATTTTAGAGGGAGGTTGAGGGAGAGAGAGCAAGCGTGAACACACAAGCAGGGTGAGGGGCAAAGGGAGAGGGAGAGAGAACATCTCAAGCAGACTCCCCTCTGAGTCCAGAGCCTGACGTGGGGCTCCATCCCACGGACCGGACCCTGAGATCATGACCTGAGCTGAAATCAAGAGTCAGATGCTTAACTGACTGAGCCACTGACTCATCCTTCTATAATCATTTTTTAAAAAGATCTTATTTATGTATTTGAGAGAGAGTGTGAGCACAAGAGAGAGAGCACAAGCCAGGGGGAGAGGCAGAGGGAGAGGGAGAAGTGGGCTTCCCGCTGAGCAGGGAGCCAGATGTGGGACTCCATCCCAGGACCCTGGGATCGTGACCAGAGCCGAAGGCAGACGCTTAACTGACTGAGCCACCCAGGTGCCCATAGCTATAATCATTATTATATCTATTCTTTTCCATGTTATTTGTGTAGTTTCCTTTATGTTCACCGTATTTCTTACTGTGTCTCACTTTTTAATTAACCTACATATAGAAAAGTGCAAAAGATTGTAAGCATATAGTGCAATGATATATCATGAAGTGAGCATGCAGTATAACCAACACTCAGATTAAATAGAACATTCCCAGCTCCTAAAAGCCAACCTTTTGCTTCCACCTAATCACTTCTCCTTCCTTTCTCCTCAAAGATAACTACTCTCCTGCTTGCTAACATCATAGATTAATTTTCCATGGTTTTGAACTGTATATAAATGGAAATACCATTTCCTTTCTTTGTAGCTTCTCTTGTTCATCGTGATGCTAGGGGAGATCCCTTCATGTTGCTGAGTGTAGCTGTGGGATTTTGTTTCCTTCTAGTTTTATTGATATCTAGTATTCAGTTTTATGAATGTACCATAATATATATTCAAGACTGTGATCCTTTCTCCACTTTGTTCTTCGAGAGTTTCTTGGCCCTTTGCTTTTCCATATACATGTTAGAATCAACCTGGAAGTTTCCACAAAAGTCCTGCAGGATTTCCAGTGGAATTTCATTGTATATATGAATCAGTTTGTGAAGAATTGCTGTCTTTATAATTTTGAGTCCTCCAATCTGTGAACATGATATATCCCTAAGTTTAAAATAAAAGTTAAAAATTGTGTTTGGGTGGAGGTCTTACATATCTTTCAATAGATTTATTCCTAGATATTTGGTGTTTTTTTTTGGTATTATAAGTGGTATAATTATTTATTTATTTATTTATTTATTTTTTTTAAAGATTTTATTTATTTGACAGAGAGAGACACAGTGAGAGAGGGAACACAAGCAGGGGGAGTAGGAGAGGGAGAAGCAGGCTTCCCGCGATGCAGGGAGCCCGACGCGGGGCTCGATCCCAAGACCCTGGGATCATGACCTGAGCTGAAGGCAGACACTTAATGACTGAGCCACCCAAGCACCCCAGTGGTATAATTTTTTAAATTTTCATTTTTTAACTTTTATTTTGGATTTTCTTGATAATTAGTCATGTTGTCTGTGGATACTGACAATTTTCTTTCTTTTCAATCCTTCCCAAACCTTATATCTTTTAATTTTATTTCTTTTTTGTTCCCTCTTTTGTCTATTGGAGGGATCTCTAATATATTGTTGGACAGAAGTGGTGCTAGTAGGTTTCTTTTTTTTTCCTTCCTGCTCTCAGAGGATTTTTACTATTAAGAATGATGTGCAGTGTAGGAGTTTTATAAAAATACCCTTGAGTAGCTGAAGAAAGTTCTCTTTATTTCTAATT